GGGGTGCTGGCGGCAACGCACGGCATTCGGTGCGAGGTGGTAAGGGCGGTGCGTGCGTGCCAGGCATGCGTTGTGCTCCGCTCGCCCATGTATGTAATTTACGCGACACACACACAACACCAGCGTATTGTGCGATGATATATGACGCGCTACCGTGTCACGCTCGGCGCAGCCTGGTGCGTTCCGTGGGCGCGTGTCTGAGACTGTGCGTCCGTGCGCGTGTCTGTACTTGGGTGTCTGTGTGTCTGTCCTGCGTGGAGTACGTACGCCCGCGCGCGCGCATCAGTCGGTGTGACTGTGCGTGCCGTACCGTGCTGTGCTCTGTGACTTGTGTGTGTGGTGTGGTGTGTGTGTGTGTGTGTGTGTGGTGTGTGTGTGTGTGTGTGTGCGCGCGGTGCCGTGCGTGCGTGTGTCTGTGTCATTTCTTTGTGTGTGTGTGTGTGCGCGCGGTGTGTGCCGTGCGTGGTGCGTGCCGTGCGTGTGTGTGTGTGTGTGCTGTGTGGTGACATGTGCGTGTGTAGTGTGGCGCGCGCGTGTGTGCGTGCGTAGTGGTGCGTGGCGTGTGTGTGTGTGCTGTGTGTGCGTGCGTGCGTGCGTGTGTGTCTGTGATGAACGCCGCGCAGCCACTGCCGCCCGCCTCTCTCCTCCGCTGCCGATCCAAGTCAGTGTAGGCACACGGCGGCGCGCAGCAAGCACCGAGGCAAGCGACGTCGCGACTATCGCACACACGCAGGCATCCCTGTGATCTGTCGCTCGCAGATCCTGCGATTTTAAAAAACTTCACTCTGCAAGATTCGTGAGCAGGCGCTCTGCAAGCCGCTGGGGTTTGTCTGCGGTTTCCGGCACGAGACGCGAGCAATCAGCGACGAATTTTTTTATTATGGCGTGTTTAAGCCGCTAGGGGATGGCTCTCCGACGCGCTTCCTCCGTCTTTTCCTCCGCGTAAGGAAGGATTATGGCTTCGGAGAGTACGGCTGTGACTGAGTAACGGAGCGAGTGGGACTTCTTACCACGGTTGGCCATTTTCTGTTACCTCTGCTACTTAGTCATCCTTGCGTTAATGGACGTCGAGCGAGCTCAACAGGCCTAGGTGTGCACGCGCGCGGATAACTCTATACCGGGCATACGAGTCCGTGTTACGCTCCAAGGAACCAAACCCTACCGCTCGAGGCTATTTACGCAGCAAGCGACTGTTGGTGTCTGTTGGCGAGTGCTACAAACCTGTGGCAACTCTTGAGGAGTGGCGTGCAAACAGTCCAGTGTCCAGTCGCGTAAAGTGAAGGCGAACAGCTGAGAGCCGCGTCACTCAGTATGACGCAGTCCCGCTCCAGTTACGACCGTAAGGGAAGTCGCTCCATGTGGTGGGCGTGCGTGCCAGCGGGGACAAAGACTTTTGTCGCCTTTCGTGTAAGCCCGCGACAATTTATCAGCGTGGGGCACAGACGCTAAGAGTTTGCATACTCGCATAGTAGCGTAGCGGACAGCGCTTTAGTTAGCTACTGCGAGACCAGTGTGGGGACAACGTTTTGACTTGCAATGAACGCTCCAGCGTGTAGACAACGCTAGAGTTAACGTACTCGCTCCAGCGTGGACAACGCTTGAAGTTAGATACTCTGACCCCAGTGTGGGGCACAACCCCTTGAGTTAGTATACTGCGGACGCAGGGTGTGGGGACAACGCTTGAGTTAGATACTGCGGACCAGTGTGGGACAGACGCTTGAGTTAGATACATCTGGACGGCAGTGTGGGACAGACGCTTGAGTTACGATACTGGGCGGACCAGTGTGGGGAGCAACCCGCTTGAGTTAGTATACTGCGACCAGTGTGCGGGACATACGGCTTGATTTGCATACTCCCGACCAGCGTGGGGACAACGGCTTGAGTTAGATAGATGCGACCAGTGGTGGGGACAACGCTTGATTTGCATACTGCGGACCAGTGTGGGGACAACGCTTGAGTTAGATACTGCGGACCAGTGTGGGGACAACGCTTGAGTTAGATACTGCGGACCAAGTGTGGACAACGCCTTTGGGGAGTTCAGATTACCTGCGGGGACCCGCTGTGGGACAAAACGCTTGAGTTTGCATACTTCGGACCAAGCGCGGTGGACAACGGTCAATTTACATATGGACACACTTAGGCCCACCTGCCTGCGTTGTGGTGAGAGCGCTGTGCGTGCTGCGGGCGTGACAACTGCTAATCTCTTTTGCTTCTTCTAAGTCAGCACACAATCGCTGTCCACTGCGTGATCAGCGGTCAGCGTGCCGCGAACACGCTGCGGCAGTGAGGTCCATCAGTAACTGGTTCGACGTTCGACTGTCCACTCGACTCGCGGGCTTGACGGGGAATCGCGCACGCATCTGGGCACGCGATTTCTCCGTGGGTCGGAGCACGGCCTTGTCTTCTAGCCATACCTAATCACCGGCGTCGGCGCTAAACGGTTATACGCGGGTTGGCCCATCCCGTAGCCATAGCGCGACTGTTGGTGAACAGCTCGTGTGGTGGACAACCTGGGCCATTGCGCCCTGTGGGCGTGGTTGATATTGGTCGGGGTTTTGGCGCCGCTTCTTCGCGGTCCCGTGGTCCCCGCGCAAGCCAATCCTGGGTTTTCCCCGGGCCTGCTGTGTATGGTAAGGAGGCTGCGGGCGCTGGATGGCCTCGGTGGAGAAACGCGCGACGCCCGAGCGTGTGCCTCTCGCCTAATCGCCTACGCTGAACTAAAGCAGTCTGGCCACCGACTGGCCTTAATGGATGCGCTATATAATTAGCAGTAAGGGATTATTTAATTAGTTGGCCCACGCGACCACACGTTATCCGGGCCCCCTCCAGTCGCGTCGGGTCATGCCAAGCAGTCAGCATAAGTGGCGGGCGGCAGTAATAAGTAGGCAGCAGCGGTAGTTAGGTAATCGCATGCGCCCATCAATCCGAACGAGCAAACGACACGCTGCGGTATCGCCAAGCATCATCAGCAGCATGCAATCATCAATCAGCAGCACAAAGCAGCAGCAGAACCAAGCTGACAGCACACAAGAGGCAATACAAAGCATAGGCTGCTAAGTCCTCGTCCAATCTCTTTTCGCTTACTTCTCACAAACCAAGCCCCTCACTTTTTTATTCCCCCCAACACCTCGGCCAATAGTTTTGGTCCATTGTGATACTCAAGAGTCTGATATACCTCAGTCAACTTTCCATACCCCCACACCACAAGACAAACCCCGCCTTACTACGTGGCAGTAGTGGAAGTCCCGCTAACATCCCATCGAAAGTTGGACGCTGGGGTCACTTGCATTAGGCGTTTTAGCAATCTCCGGGCCATAAGTCACTGCATTATCTTTCATCTCTTTGCCATTAATCATCCCTGGCGCGCGGTAATAAAATCTCCCCCCGCAAATCGTGACAAAGCAAGGAGTCCGAGCCACCACGCGGCCTGCACGTGACAGAGGGCCCTCCTGTGTCCTGACCCAACTCACTTGCCTCCGCGCTATATCGTCCTTGTCTGCGGGCTTATACTGCTAGTCTGTTCCCCTCTCTCTCACAGGGCTCACGAGCAGACACAACAAAAACCACAACACGGCAATGTCCCCGACACACACATAGACACACACTCACAACGCACACTCTCTCTCTCTCTCTCTCATATATATAAATATATTATATTCCTCTCTCCTCCTCTTCCTTCATCGTCCTTCTTCTGTTTTCTTTCTTTTTCTCTCTCTCTCTCTCTTTCTCTCTTGTCTCTCTCAGCACACACACACACCCACACACACACAACCACACACACACCCCACACACATCGGCACACACACACAGCAGCGCACTGCATGTGCACACACCAGACACCATCACCAGGTACACAATCTTCTCTCTCTCTCTATCCCGTCTTCTTTCCTCCTTTCTCCTCCTCTCTCTCTCGTCTCTCTCTCTCTCTGCGTGCCACACCCCTGCCCGTGCTATTCGTCCGCTGCATCTGACTGGCTAATACGCCGGCGCGTCGGACCGTTTGTTCACACTCTTCACAGCGTAGTCTGTTCCTCTCTCCGCGCGCGCGCCGCTCGCTGTCTGTGCAGGGGAGGCGAGAATTCGCTGTCGGCGCATCGCTGGTGCGCGTTACCGTGGCAACGGCAGCAGATGTCCGGCGACCTCTCGTGCCCTGCAGCCATCGCTTGGTCTGACGTCGGCAGGGTACGGATGGATGTAGAGAGTCGCTTCAAATGCGGCCGCGGCCGACCTGGTAGTGTGAGTGCGGGTGGTACTTGTCGGCGAGTGGGATTGAGATACCGAGTGGCGGCTTCTGGGCTGCGCTTCTCTCTTCTCTCTCCTCTCATCTCATCTCTCTCCCGAGCAGTTCTCTCTCTCCGTCTCATGTGTCTTCGCAGGCCTCGTGTTACAGCACGTTATTTTCTTATGCGCGCGATGACGTGAAACTAGTGAATCGGGTGCTCATCTGGATGCTTGGCGTTGTAGCTAATAAGTAACGAACGCGTGGGGATCAGCAACTTATCTGCTTGCCATCCTTCTCTCTCTCTCGTCTCTCCGTGATTTTATGTGTGCGTATGGTGCGAAGTGGCCTGGCCTCGAGTGGGAGGTGACCTCTGACCCTGTGACCTCTGACGCTCTGACTGTCGGCGTCGAGGCGGTTTGCGATTTCCAATACGGATTGGCATTTCCCTAACGCGGTTACTCCTGTCTCGTTCGTGTGAATTCGCCACGTCGAAAGCGTACACCACTCGCTGCTGCAGGCCACTCGCAGGCTGCGTTTTCCAATTTAACCACGCCCCGTGTGGCGCACCCTACACGCTGCGAATACCTCATTAACGAATAAAATCAGTGGCACAACGTGTCACCACCACGAAGTAAGTCGTCCTTGATTCCCTGTAACTGGCAGGCTTCCCACCAGGCGCAAAAGATGCGGACGTGTGTATGGGGCTGATATATAGGTGTGTAAATCATATAGGTTGCACCTAACGATAAACGAATTCTAAGCGTTTCTACGGCTACAGGTATAGTGAGGTTTCGGAGAGAGGTGTGCAGATTGGTCAAGTTCCTAGACACGGAGGAGTAAGCGGAGAGAAAACTCTAAATGGCGAAAGGAAACTTTGGCGATAAGGATACTGCTGCTGGTGTCCTGCAGGCTCGGTGTTAGACGAATTCTATGAAATCTAGGCTGAGGATCGTTCGCGCAAAGGACACCGGGTGCATACTTGCAGTCCCTGACTGGAGTAACTCCGGCATATAAGCGGCATTACTACTCCTACGCCTGGCTTGATAGCCCCAACCCCTGTGCGTTACTGACCAGACAGTTGAGTGGGCTGTCACTAGACGAAGCTCAGGTGAGTGATCGTACCTGTGGGTGAAGTCATCTGTCTTGGCCGTGCGACAACGTAACGGCATGGCCGGTTGCGAGCGAGATCGAACCGGCCTATAGGGGCCGCGGTGAGCCCGCGGTGCCGCCGCGCCAACGAGCCTTCACACAGCCGCGCCTACGCCCCGCCAAGTGCGGGGTCGTGGGCCGTGGGCAGGGAAAGTGATCGCGAGGTAATACTACTGATTCATCTGTCCTGTCCCCCTGTTGTCTCCCTGCTTATTGCTGTGCGCGTATACGGTTCCATGATATATGCACGCACCGCCCCACGGTGCACGCAACGCCGACGACGCGAGGGGCACCAACCCACACACCCCACACACACAGTGCGCACATGCACAGCCACATACTCCACACACAACATGCAGACACACACTACATACACATAACACACGCGCTCGCTACACATTACAATTGCATAGAAGTCTGGATGAGATGCATCGGCTATACAATTATCTGCTGAATGCTGAATGTTGCTGGATTAAGAAGAGAAAAACTAGTTTATCGCATCCTCCGGCGAAATGCTAACACAAACGCCTCTCTCTCCCTCTTCTTTCCCTCATCCCCCCTCTCTCTCTCTCATCTCTCTCTCTCTCTCTCTCTCTCTCTCGATCTCCTCTCTCTTTCTCCTCCCTTCTCTCTTCTCGTCTCTCTCTCTCTTCCTCTCTCTCGTATATATTATATATAATATATATATATATCATATGGTATATATCTAATATATATATAATATATATAGACACTCAGAAATGTCCGTCAAAACGTTAAACATCGCGTCGCTGCTCTGTATGAATGTTAAAGTTGACAGGCTAATCTAGTCGGGCCCAACCGTGAGAGATTGAGGGGAATCGCTGGTTGTTAACAAATCCAACAGAAATGGCCCGCTCGCATCGCTCGCATCGCTATCGGGCGGACGGACGACTGACGGTGTGTTGACGTGGTGGCGATGAATTGTGAAGGCGGGTCGCCGTGGCCCGCTCGGCTGCCTCGTGAAAATCGGTGCGTGTACGTAACGTAGCGAGATGAGCTTTGCGCTAGTCCACATCAATATGTAGTATGCATGTCGACCCGCCTGGTTCCGTTCGCGTGTGTAGTTGGGTTAGGGGCATCTGGCATTATACGGGGTTTACGCCTGGGATTGTAACGCCAGTTATGCGTGTTGTTCAAGCTTTTGCCGGGGGTTAGCGTTTGTTGGATGTTTAATGCCAATGAGGTTCATGCGCCTTGCGCTGCTTGGTATGGCGCTGTGTGTTTGCGCTAATGTGTCATGCGTTGTCGTATTGCTTCATGAATGTAATACCAGTTGGTGCACTTTCTTGGTTAAGCTCATCTGTATGCCGGTTGTGTATTGGGTTCTGAATGTATCACCAGTTGTGCATTTTTCTAGCGTAATGTGCCTACGGCTTCTCCCGTCCCCGCCCTCTGGTTGCATCGACATGTATACATTTACTGTGTTATCCTTCCCTGAATGTATACGTCGATATCGGCTCGCAGCCTCGGCGCTCACCGTTCTCGTAACTACCATTAGGTTAGTCGACGCGGATGATTGGCCCATTCTATATACGTATCAGTGCGAACGACCGTTTGCCTCCATTTGCCCATGTAGAACGCGCCGATACACGCGGGCAACCGGTTCTGTAACGTGCCACTATATACGCCCCGGAGGTTATTTTTACTGCTGTTTGAGCGGCGCTGTCTGTCTCTGTCATCGTATACCCCTGCACAAGAAATGCAGCGCAGGCGAAATATGTAGCCGTGAATAGTTAAAATGTATGTAACGTCGATTCTGTAGACGTGTGCTCCGTGTCTATAGATCCCTCAACCGCGCGATTTTCCGTCCCGCCCATTAACGTTCGGACCTCCTCTCCTGTTTGCTTTCCTCTTCTGCCTACGCTCCCTGCTTTTTTCCACCGTCTCTCTATTTCGTGTAAGTAAACACTAAAGGTGTAATATCCGGGGCACGCCAGCGGTGCGGCAATCACGTTCCTTGGGACGAACACGCTAGAGGTGTTCCACTTCTCTCTCCTCTCCTCTCTCTCTCTCCCGTCTTCTCCTCTTCTCCTCTCTCTCTCTCTCTCTCATTCTTCTGCTTCTCGTCCTCTCTCTCTCTCTCCTTTCTCTGCTCCTCCCTCTCCGTTTTTTCCTCGTCCCTCCTCGCTTCTCGTCCTTCATCTCTCCTCTCTCTCTCTCCTCGTCCGTACTCATTTCCTCTCTCCTCTCTCTCTCTTTCCTCTCCTCTTTCTCTTCTTCTGTATCCGGCCCCTCCTCTCTTTCTCTCCTCGGTTCTGGGCTATCTCGGCCCCCCCGGCGTCTCTGCTGCCTCCTCTCTCACGTTCTCCTCTTGCCTCTCCCCTCCCCTCTTCCCTCTCCTCTCTCTCGTCCCTCTCTCTCTCTCGTCGCTCTCTCCCTCCCTCTCTCTTCCCCTCTCTCCTCTCTCCTCGCTCTTTCTCTCTCCTCTCCATCTTCTTTCTCCCTCTCTACCTCGTCTCTCGTTTCTCCCTCTTCTCCTCTCATCGCTCCCTTCCCCCCCTCCTCTTTCTCTCGTGCTTGTCTGGTATTCTCCGCGCCGCCGCTCGTCTCTTTCTCCCTCGTTCGTATCCGCTGGGCGCCGCGCCTCGGGTCTTCCGGTCGCGTGTCTCTCTCCCTCTCTCTCTCTCTCCTCTCTCTCTCTCCGCGGGGCTGCAGTCAGAAAGTCCTACAAGTTAGCGGAGTGAAACTGCCTATGGTCTTTGCCTCTAAGTTGACTAGCAAATGTTGGTATAAGCCAGCATCTGGTTGTACTAATGGTGAAATAACACATTTAGGTGCAATATTGTTATTCCAAACAGCGGCTAATGCGATTAAACATGCGCGAGTGAACAATGGCGGCAACTACTAGGTATTTACGTAACACGCGTGTATAGCTGGGATGCCGCCCGCACGCAGCAGCCGCTGTTTCGTCGGCTATTTTGATTTCCTGATCATAACCCCACCCCCCTCCCTTCCTCCATCCCTCCCCTCTTTCCCTCGCTCTGTGTGTGGCGGAGGGGCTTCGGGGGAGTTGTAGGGGGAAGACACAGCCAGGGATTATCATGGACACGAGGAGAACACCGCCACTACCCACTCCCTCAGTGTTAGTGACAGTACACTGTGCAGTGGCTACCTGTATATTTACAATTGCTCTGTCCGCTATGGCCATTGCGGCTGAAAGTCTGTGAAAGTACTACGAGTGAACGGACTAAAACAACGGCTAGTTTTGGCGGGGAGCATTGGTGTCATCTTGGACGTAGGAGCGCTAGTATTAATAGCATGGATCGGGAAACGTTGGAATGGTGGGGTGCCGCTGGCCCCCTGCACTCCATATGCGATTAGCTTGATTTTTCCGGGATCGTAAATAGCGAATAGCACCTACAGCGGGGAAACGAGAGCTATTATCTCAGCATGCCACTTTAATGTTGTCGCGCGGCCGGACTTGGTAATCGGCGACATCGGCCGGCCATCCGGTGAGCCGCCGCCGTCACACGCTACGTTGACCCCCGCGCGCGCGCACTGACCTTACCTCAGTGTCCACCACGTACACACACATGTGCAGTGACCTTACTTCAGTTTCCACCACGTACACACACACGCGCGCACTGACCTTACTTCAGTGTCCACCACGCACACACACGCGCAGTGACCAGGCCACTCACTTTTAAGGAAATTTCCTTAAACTGTGGAATTTTAAGGTTTTTTAAGGATATTTTTAAGAAAATTTTAAGGAATTTTAAGAAAAGAATTTTTTTTAAGAATAAGGAGAATCTGCTCATACAGGATGCCGACGATCCACAGGTGTTCGTCGCGCTGTACGAGTTCCAGTCGGGCGGCGAGACGCAGCTCAGCCTCACGAAGGGTAAGTGCGTGCGTGTGCGTGTGTGTGTGTGTGTGTGTGTGTGTGTGTGTGTGTGTGTGTGTGTGTATGTTTGGGGAAGGAAGGGAGAGGGAGGGGAGAAGTGGGTGGCAGAGAAGGAGGAGGAGGGGGTAGGGTAGGGCGGAGAGACGCAACTCAGCCTCACCAAGGGTAAGTGCATTGGGGTGGGGTGTGTGTGTAGGTTTGTCTGGGGAGGAAGGGGAGAGAGGGGAAGGAGGAGGAGAAGAGAGAGGAGGAGGAGGAGGAGGAGGAGGAGGAGGGAGAGTAAGAGCTAGGGTAGGGCGGAGAGACGCAGCTAAGCCCGACCACGGGTGCGTGTGTGGGTGGGTGGGGCGTGTGCGTGCGGTGGGGCGTGTGCGTGCGGTGGGTGCGTGTGCGTGCGGTGGGGGGTGTGCGTGCGGTGGGTGCGTGGGTAGGTGTGTCTAGGAAGGGAGGTGAGAGAGGGAAGAAGAGGGTGGCAGAGGAGGAGGGAAAGGAGGAGAAGCTAGAGTAGAACGAAAAGACACAGCTCAGTCTCACAATGGGTAGTACGTGCGTGTGTGCGCGGATGAAAGGAAGGGAGGGGCCCGGGAGTAGGGAGCAGGGTTAGGGTGAGTTGGGTGAGTGGGTAGGGAGCGTTTAATATGATGTGATGCCCCCTCGTGTAGACAGATCTAGGGCAGGGACGTCGGGATAGGTTATTGCTGCGGGCCACGTGCATGGAGGCAGGATGCAGAGTAGAGGCAAGGCTTAACAGCATCCCCGCCACCGCCTCCTCCTCCTCTCAGTCTCCACTGAGCTGGCGTCACACGTTCACTGTGTGTACACCAGCTTGCGAATCACATACATTGTGGAATCTCTCCAGCAGTCACGCCAATCGCACGTGAAGCGGCAACGGATGGGTGGGGAAGTGGGATGAGGAGGAGGGGGAGGAGGAGGAGGAGGACGAGGGAGGCGGAGAAGGAGGAGGAGCGAGGAGGAGGAGGAGGAGGAGGAGGAGGAGGAGATGGAAGATCCGGGTGCTTACGCAAAGAGAAGAGGAGGGAGGGAGGGAGGGAGGAGACGCAGACGGAACGGCACGCGGTGAATGTTTTGCCTTCCTTCTCCCTGCCTCCTCCGCCGTCTCGGGTCTCGGATGATGATGAGTCGTGTGTCAGTCTGGGCGAGGAGGAGGGAGGCGGCGGAGGGAGGAGGAAGAGGAGGAGGAGGGAGGGGATGAGGAGGAGGAGGAGGAGCAGGAGGAGGGTGAAGGAATTTGTGAGGAGCGTGGGCCGCGGTGGAGATGGGAGTGGCGCTCTCTTGAATTATTACGAATGATTGCCCCCGGGGTGCTGGCTGTGGTGGTGTAGACAGCTAGCTAGGTAATCAGGTAAGCAGTCATGCATGCTACCCAGAGGATTTATAAGCTGCTGCTACTAACTTACGGTTGCACGGGTCAGCGGGTTTTCTGCCGGCGGTTCGCCCCCTTTTTTCTCGTCTAAATACACGGGGGCGGGGTCGAATGATTGGGGTTTTCTGTCGTAAATTCGGCGCGTGATGAGAGAGAGAGAGCGCGGAGGTTTTGTGCTTGATTTCCTGCTTAGCGTTTAGTCGACGTCCGCTGATCATGATGTCATTATAAATCAGGATGTTGAAGCAGACAGATTTAGCAAAGCAAATACCGTCTCATTAAAGCTGCATCGACACAACAATTAACATGCCCGCATAGAGGTAGGATCATAATTAGAGGTTGACGACATTAAAGGCAATCAAATGAAAATAAAATTGAGACAACATGGAAATAGGATATTTTTACTTGAATTGCGTCGCGCGCGTTTATTTGATGTTTAGCGGTCGATAGCAGAAGGAAAATTGTTATTGTCGTAATATCCGTTGGAGGGCGCTGTTTGATGTTGTGTCTAGGCAGCTTTATCGTTTTTGCCCGTGTAGAGAAACATGGCGGTGTCATACCTATAAACAGTAAATCAGTGGCAACTCATAACGGCAATAATTCATGTATCGTACTTTTATATCAGTGTCGTTGTGAAACCTACTGGTGGTGAACGTGTGTAGACGTCAAATACAAAGCAAAATACACTTATATAAAACATACACACTACGCACACGCACGTTTGCACACGCACGCGCGCGCACACACAAAGAGAAATTAGCGTGAAGCATTCCAGCAGTTTCAGTCCGCCATCCCTCATCTCATCTACAGCTTCCGCATCCTCGTCATTCTCGTCCTCATCCTCCGCATCCTTATTCCCAGTGTCCTCATCCTCATCCTCATTCTCCTCCTCATCCCCAACTTCCTCATCCCTACTATCATCCTCATCCTCTGCATCCCCATCCTCATTCTCCTCATCCCCAGCATTCTCATTTTCAGCCATAGCTGCCATATCCCTATCATCGTCCTCATCCTCATCCTCATCCTCATCCTCATCCTCCTCATCCTCATCCTCATCATCCTCATCCTCATCCTCAGCATCCTCATCCTCATCCTCATCCTCATCCTCATCCTCAGCATCCTCATCCTCATCCTCCTCTTCGCTGTCGCAGGTGAGCAAGTGCGCGTGCTCTCCTACAACAAGACACACACACACACACACACACACTTCCATCCTCAGCATCCCCAGCATCCTCAGCATCCTTATCATCCTCAGCATCCCCAGCATCCTCAGCATCCTCATCCTCATCCTACTTTTCTGGCTCAGGTGAACAAGTGCGCGTGCTCTCCTACAACAAGACGGGCGAGTGGTGCGAGGCTCGCAACAGCGCCGGCCGCGTCGGCTGGGTGCCGGCCAACTACGTGACGCCGGCCAACTCGCTCGAGAAGCACTCGTGGTTTCACGGCGCCATCTCCCGCAGCGCCGCCGAGTACCTGCTCAGCAGCGGCATCAACGGCAGTTTCCTCGTACGCGAGAGCGAGAGCAGTCCCGGACAGATGTCGATATCGCTGCGCTACGAGGGCAGGGTCTACCACTACCGCATCAGCGAGGGCAGCGACAGCAAGGTACGTGTGTGTGTGCGGGGAGGAGGTGGGAGGAGGGGAGGGAGGAGGGGGAGAAGGGAGAAGCTGGTGAAGAAGGAGGAGGGGGAGAAGCTGGTGGAGAATGAGGAAGGGGAGGGGAGGAGAGCATTCTTCTAGGATAGATGTCGATATCGCTGCGCTACGAGGGCAGGGTCTACCACTACCGGATCAGCGAGGGCAGCGACAGCAAGGTACGTGTGTGTGTGCGGGGAGGAGGGAGGTGGGGAGGGAGGAGGTAGGTGTCTCTCTCTCTCTCTCTCTCTCTTCATCTCTCTCGTCTTCTCCCTCTCTCTGTCTGTTGTCTGTCTGTCTGTCTGTGCTGCTCTGTTCTCTACGCTCTCTCTCTCTTTCTCTCAGTCACACACTCATCTTTTCTTCGCTCTCCTCTCTCTCTTTCGCCTCCTTTCTTCCCTCTCTAACCACAACCTACCCCTCCATATAAGCTTTCCCATTAATTGTACGCTCCTCCCTATGAATGTCTCTTCCCTATATCCACCACCCTCCTCTACATTAGTCTTCTATCTAACCGCCACCCATTCCTTCTATCATCTCTCTACTTATCATGGCTGCTTCCATCTAACTTGTCCCCCTCCCCTCTCTCTGATGGCTAGTTCCATCTAACCTCCCCTCCCCCTCTCTCTGCAGGTGTAACGCGCACTTCGTCAAGGTCGAAGCGTCACAAGCGGCTGGAGTCGGGTGATGGCCGCCGGCGTGCGAGCACATCGAGAACGAAGCATCGCTGTGACTCGCGACGGACGTGTGAGGAAGTCTTCGGACTCGATCGGATTCTGGTGGCGAGTGCGTCGGTGGAGCGTACGCCGGAATCGACGACAGATCATGTCGGCGCGCGCGTCGACATAGCTGTGTAAGTACTAGGTGTGGGTCGCCACACTGTAACCGGCTGCGCACGCAGGCACGTACGCACGCACGCACGCGCGCGTACGCCACTAACACGTGAAGTGATGGTCAGCGGAATTTCTCAACGAACGTGCATGATGATGAAGCTGGATGACTGAAATTGCATGGCATGATGATTCCAAATCACGGGCATGGTCGCGTGATGGCATCATGGCACACGCCATCG